CGACGTGCGAGCCAGCCTCCTTAGCATGCAAGACCTCCCAGCCTAAGGGAGAATGAATCAGTATGGTCTTGCAATTGAGGCCGAAGCCAAAGACACCGCCACCAACAAGAAATGCCACCTCCACCTCACACCTTAGACCTTCGAGGCTACCTTGACGACAGACGACCCAAAAGGAACCGAGACATAATTGGCCCATCCCACCGCCGAGGAGAATAGAAGGAAGTCGAGGTACCCGCCATCCAGCAGATCGCCAATATATAGGCATAGCTCGGCACGGTGAAGAGACAAACTTCGGTCCAAGGCACATGATACTCGGAGGTTGTACTTCTAGTCACCGGATCCCCCATCTCGCTCGACATCCTAGCCGTGGTATACAACCTTTGCCAAGGTTACACGCCCGGACCAGACATCGGACCAAGGCGTATGGCCCGCTAGAGGTCACACGCATGCTCATCCCTCCTGACAGGGAACCTATTGGAACTTGGCCGCAACCGACGAGCTGGCCCTTGATTTAGGCTTCAGCCTCGAAAGGGGGCACCGACCCCTACACCAGAAATGCAAGAAGAAATGTAATTGCAAAATGGCCCAAGATACACAACTTGGAGACCACTTTGGTAGTAGGCAGCCACCTCGCTCCAAGACAACGCGACAAGGGAAAGAGGACAGTAACCTTGACCGTCCCGGCAGTTCACCTCGCCACATGACACCGATTACCATGGAGGTCCACCTCAGCCTCGCCTAAGGGAATAAGTGAGGCTCATTTCCTAAAACGAACATCTAGCAAGCCTATTCGGGTTATTTTTTGTCTACTTATGACCCTTTTAGACAGGCACAAAGTATACGAAAAAATGCTCATCTCATTTCACAATTCAACTTACAAAATTTTTGGCCCTCAAGGGGAGCACATTTGTAACAGACAAAAACAAGAATTGAAGTCGGCTATACCTCGCCCTCGATTGGAGAAATGGGAAGATCCTCGATGCCCGCGTTTGCAACCTCGATGGGATCCTCGGCCTTGTCCTCGGGGGAGAGAGAGTTAGGGAGCACCTACAACTGGTCAATGGGGAAGTCTGGTGCCATCTTCAAAAGAGCCTTCTTGGTGTCTTTAATCCCCTCCAAGTAGGTTGCGGATCCATAGTGTGCCAGGCAGCGGCAGCACCCCGGTATTTTCGCCTCAGCCTCAACCTCAGACCTCCTTAATCGGTTCTCGGCCCTGGAGTAGTTTCTCCTCCTTTAGCAACGCGAGGGTCTCATCTCGGCTGCTCTCCGCCGAAGCCACTTGCACCTGAAGCTGTTTATTCTTCTTCTCAAGCCGAGCCACATACTCGAGAAGGAGGTGGATGCGGTCACCGAGGCTGACATAGTGATGGTATACTTGCACCAGGCACAACATCAGTAAAGCCAATAGAATCTAGCAAGCACCAAGTCAAAAAGAGAAGGAAACTCACCTCAGCCAAGAAGTCCATCCCCTCGTCGACGATGGCAATGGGGTCCATCTGCATCATGTCTAAGTGGTAATCCGGAGGGACCATCCCCTTGACGAGGGCCCTGCCGATGCCCTCGGTATCAATGGAGTCCCCCTCGTGGACTCCCCACTTCAGGTGGTAGAGACGGTTTAGACGCTCCCCCCCCCCTTGGCAGGCTCGGAAGCGGAGGGAGGAGCAGATGAGGGCCCGACGGTGGCCCCTTTCGCAGGCTATCTCCTCAGAGCAGCAGGAGCCCCCTTCCTCGGCACACCGCCCTCCATTGGGCAGTCCTTGTGCGTAAGCCTCTTCATAGGAGGTGCTGGTGGCACCCCGGTTGGCCTTTTCTAGCTAGTCTTCCTTAGCCGATCCTCCTTGGCCTTCTTCCCTTTGTCGCCCCCACTAGCGGGGGCCTGGGGACATGGGGTCCCCCTGGCGGGCGCGGACCTCCTCTCCACCCTTGGGGGCAGCACCATGACCACTCTCAGAGTCTTTCCACACAAAGTGCCCTCTATTTGGCCCTTCTTCTTGGCCAAGGCGCCCTTCAGTAGCAGTCTCTTGGCGTCCATGGGCATCTGTACAAGAAAAATATTACCAAACAACACAAAGAAAATGAGGGCGACGAAGATGAAGGCTAGTAACTGAAACTGAGGGCTCTGGCGAACCAGGAAACTCTTGGAAGCAAAGGCACTAATGAATAAGTGACGGCCGAAGCTGAGGCCCCTATTTAAAGAAAAATGGATGGCCCATATCGCGTGGGATCCAACGGTTGACGAATGACCGCCTTTGCTACCCATCCGCTGACTGACATGCGTGGCTTGCCTTGGGTAGATGAAACAATGCCTGGCGAATTAAATCACCTGGGTCCTCACTGTAACTCACTAGTCAACCCAACCATGTTGACTCAGAAAAATCGCAGTCCGGTTCACCCGTGCCTTGTCCTCCCTATAGCGACGACTCAGCAACCAGTTGAGGGCTCGACCCCTAACTCGTCAATTTTGGGACTCGCGACCAGCGTAACCCGTATTCGGCTCTGGGAACCGCTTCCATCATGACCCATGGAACTGCATAAAGAGACTCCCTCACAATGCGACCAAGTCACCAGCTTGGGTACCCTGGCACTTCCACCTCGGCACCCTCAACCAAAGCCAAGGCCATGCAAGACGTACCCAGCATTTACAAGATTGGGGGGCAACCTCCCTTTTGCCCACCTCACGCCATGAAAAACTCAGAGCCGAAGCCAAGGCCCCACTCTCCAGGTGTAGTCGAGCCAAGGCCCTGCACGAGCCTTGACCATCCTCACATTTTAAAGGAAAAACATATTGACGCCACCGCATGCCATAAGGCATACAGGTCTATTGACACCTCCTGGTATGAGACAATGCACTCCCTTTGGCTGAAGCCGAGGCCCCTCCTATCTTGGATGCCCACCCTAGCCTCAGGAGAGTGGGGCAAATGATGTAGGTGCATCCAGCTAGGCCAATGGCAAGCTTACATGTGTTAGGTGGTGAAGCACATAGTGGAACCAATTGAGTCACGGGTAGAGCCGGTGTCAGTACCTCGCACTGGACCAATCAGGGTGCACGCTAGGCTAGGCTAGGCTTGGCAAGCCTTGCTGAGCCAATCGCGCTCTCTCACCTGGCGCTACCAGATGATCACGCCCTCGGTATGGACTACATCTAGGCCATCCGAGGTCACCCGCCCCCTAGCGGCCTCAAGTACACATAAGAGGTGACCCCCACAAGGTAAATGATCCCAAAAGTTATCTCTCAAGCACTCTTCTTGCTCTTTGAGATCTCCTGCTCTTTAGCGGCCTCATCTTTGGTGCTCGCACGCAAGACCTCGTCCACCTTCCACCTCTTGTTAATAACTTGACCATCGAAGTCTTCGCCTCAGGTGCCAACTCGGGGCCTCTGACAAGCTCTCTCACCTCGTAGAATCGATCTACCCGCCCTTGGCCACCTCAGACACCTCGACTTTAGGCACCTCACACCTTGGCTTAGGACCGAACTGATAATGTTGACCTCGGCCAATCCGAGCATCAACAATACCTTATGATGTATTTTGAATTTTGCAATGGAATAATGATATACTAATGTATTCTGAATTGTGCAAGTAAGTATGATCCATTATGAAGGAATATGTTATTGACTCCAATTTATGTGATGAATCTTGATAGTGTTTACTATATATATATATACATACTTACCTTGGCCGGTTCCATGATGCCACATGCTCCATGCGAAGGCTTTGGCAACCCCAAGCACGCTCGTACATACCCTGGCCGATTCCAGGATGTTGTGGTCAGTTCCACGATGCCGCATGCTCCATGCGAAGGCCCTGACAACCCCAAGCGCACTCATACTTACCTTGGTCAGTTCCATGATGCCGCATGTTCCATGCGAAGGCCCTAGCAATCCTAGGGGCAATGGCAAAGCAAGACAAGTACATTACAACATGTGATGGGTCACCCTAGCAGTCCTAGGAAAGACATATCAGACACAGGTATGATGATGAATGCTAAGTATTTTGCCCTTATGAATAATTATGATTACCCTGGAAACTGGGAAAATATAATCACATTGAACATTGTGAGGCATCTTGATAATAGGACTTCCTTATGTGCGACAGATTACCTTGGAAAATCCAAGAAAGACTTCATCTATTCCCTGTATACATGAAAAGTAATATTTGGTTAAACCTTATCTACTCTCATTATTATATGCAATTGTGCTCCCCTCGAGGGTGTGATAGAATACAGTAACTCTCGCATGTGTGATGAACAAATACGACTAACTTTTGCGTGTGCCATAATATTTTAGTTGCCTTAAATGCAACAGTACCGACTTGCGTTGATGCACAAAGACCTAACTTCGCAAACTATGATGGAACCCAATTGACTCCACCTTTCTCTTTAACTCAAGCGATGGCTCTTTCACACATGATGATGCTTGACACTTATAATGATACTTAATCCCTTCGGTATGACAAGCTATGCCTCTACACATACGATGCGACCTTACTCTTCTTATGCAATGGAATTTTTTTTTTTTTTTGCCTACGGACTTGATTTGGGCATTTGTGATGGCATTTATCTTACTTTGTAAAAGATACTATTTGCGCTGAACCTTATCATTCTCAATATTACTTAACTTTGGCACATACGATGGTACTTACACGATTCTTTTTACATCACGGTGCTTATATTCATCGCAACCCTTACATAGGGTAACTTTTAACTTAACCTTCGTAGATGCGATAAGATTTAACCTTTCTCACACATAGTCCATTTTAATACATAGACATTTGAGCACAGCAATTGTGCTCCAGTCTCGACCATGATAAGGGACTTTGTGCGCAATGACGCCAAAGTAAAAACTCTGCAACTCGCAACTAAGCACACAGGGCCTGAATAGCCTACTGGCACCATGTTCAGCCCACCAAGGCGTATTAGCAATGCGCACAATAGGACAGACCCACCAACACTCCTATGTTGTTCAAATTATAAAGCAACATGATCAATAAACAATCTGAGATAAACTATGGCCTTTCATTACAAAATTTGAGTGTTTTACAAGGTATTAGGTACACTTACAATTCACATGGAATACCACCCTTTCCTCATATTTTCTATCTCTACTAGACCCTGCTTTCGTACCTCAAAATCTAGCAATTCCTTCTGTTCCACCTCGTATTGCGACCCCATCTTTTGCTAACGACCGCACTCGTCAAGAAGGGCATTTAGCTTCTTAGTTGCCTTCGACATATTTGCTTCAACCACCTTGAGGCGAAGGCATACATCCTTTAGAGATTGACCAGAGAGACACTGTGACCCCTTGAGACAAGCCTTCCAAAATGTGTGGGCCAACAAAGTCACTCACTCTTCAATCCAGTCAATTTGAAAGCCGAGAGTAGCAAAGGACTCCCAAGTCCTCAGCCATTGGGAAAACCCAAACCATGAAAGATCATCAGTAGATTGGTCCATGATACAATTCATCATCGCTGTGATTGTGTTCAAAGACGTCCCTATGACCACCGGAGGAATGTCAACGAACGACAACCAACCCTTCTGAATAATGATTGAAGCAGCCTTCGCTATAGAGCTTGATACGCAATGCTTGTTGTTTTTGTGAGGACCTTGGATAGAGACAGGGTCCATGATTGTGTAGCTCAGGGGAGTGATATCATTCTTTTCACAGTACTCCTTAAGCTCTTGTCGTATTAGCACAAGTTCCTTGTCATATGACATAGCCTCGAGTGGTGACACCACCTCAAAACCCATAGCTTCACTCTCGGGATGAGCCTCCAAACCCATAGCTACTACACCTCCAAGAACACCAGGCATAACAGGACTAGTAGATGCAGCCTCTTCCTCATGACACATGTCTTCTGCCATTGTCTTGCATGCTGGTTCAGACAACACTTCAATTGCAATTGGTTCTTGACCTTCAGCATCAGGCCACCCTAACCTAGAGACCGGCCCTTTAGGAGTCTCGACGGCCAGCAGGCCTTCTTGGACAACCTCAGTTTGACCCATTGGCTCACTAGGGGCCTCCCTTTGCAAACCTGTAGGGCTTCCTCTCCTCACGTAGCGAGGGTTGGGGTAATGTCATCGGCAATGAAATCCTCATTCACACTAGCACCCACAGGATCATTGGTTTGGGGTGGTGGGTGGGGATCTTCAGTCACTTTTTGACCTTGAGTGGGGGGCTGTGATGACTACAGCTTGCACACCAGCCGCCTGATAATTGGTGAAACTGGTACGGTGGAAGGATCCACATTGAAAAGCCCTTACAATGAGATGAATTAGAAACGATTAGTACAATAGAGATAATCGCAATAAGAAAATCATACAACTATCCAAGTTATCTCTACCTTTTCACCCACAACACCTTTAGGGAGGATTTATGGGGTCTCCGCATTAGGCTGAATATATTCAACCTCCACTTGCTTCAAAACAAAGGATTGTAAACAAATTAGTAAAAACAATGCCAATGTAATCCCAATGATAACAAAACAAATACATCAGCAATATAAATCCTTACCAAATCCACCTTCTCGAGCTCCCTCCTGCGTAGATGTGGAGCCATTTTCTTCACACGTCTGCTTGAGACACGAATAGAAACAACTCTAGCTGGTGGAACCAGCACTGTTGACTGTGTTGATTCCATGTTTGTCACATCCCTTACTTTAGTTGTCGGGGCTGGAACCTCCTTCCTGCCCACTTCAGGGTTTGCTCGCGGTGAGCCCACATCTCGATTCTCCCTAGCTCGAGATGATGCAACGTCTGGCTCAAAGGCACACCACATCACTTGCGCGGGTGAAACAAAGGCACGGGGCACCCTCGCTGATCTGGCCCTCTTAGCAGCGGGAGGGCAACTACCTTCACCTTTTTTCTAGCGCAAGGCGCTTGCCCTTAAACATAGCACCCAGGAACTCCTGCTCTTATAGAATTGGAGGGCTTGGTGGGAGATCAGCTGGTGCCTGCTCCTACTCAGCTGCATGACCCATAGAGAGTCCATAACATAACGTAGGAGGGGGCTCTCCCGTTTGAACATTTGGAGGCCCCTGAACAATGCGGACATGTCGGTGAAGTGGAGGGACTTACAAGCTTGAATCCTCCTGTACCCTGCAACAGGGAACCATGAACTTCCCAGGAATGCCAAATCATACTGTCGGGTCCAGAATACATCCTCCCCTGCAATCCGAAGAAACTAAGTGCATATGTCATCATAACCGAATTGGCGGAGGACCCTATCGGGCCAATAGGCTACAACTTGGGGTTCACCTGCACGGTCCAACTATGTGATGACTCCGAGCCAAAGAATGAGGTGTGCCATGCCCATAACGAGATGTGTCACCTCCACAAGACATTGCTGGTCACCATCCTTAGGAACAAAGGCGCCAATACAAAACAACATGGAATGCTTGACAGCTTGAGTATAGGGCCTCCACAAAAAACCTTCAATAGACGCCAGCTTGAGTTCGATCTCATTCACTCCAAACTGTTTATGCCTACTGGCGTGAAGCCAATGCTTCCCCCGACAAACTGCTAATGAATTCTCCTCTGTTTCATCCCCATTCAAGGTCGCTATGGTAGCTCTCATAGGAGAGAGGTAGTGGGGCGTAATGCTGAGGTCAAGACTCTCGCACATATACATGGAAAAAAGGGAGCAAACATGTAACTGATCCATCTCTTACAACTCGGGTCCATCATTTGTTGGTCTGTGTCATCCATCTGCTCATTTAAATATTCCAAAAACATGGATGTCAACGGGAGTTGATGGTCGCTAGCAGCAAGCACAACAAGCGAAACCAACACTGTGCGCAGACTGTAATTAGGAAGCCCTGGGAAGAGGAAACAGGATGCGATGTACAAAATGAAGGCGGCAAAAAGGCTTTGGTCATCTGCCCACTATACCATCACATCCCCCCTACCATGGCTCTCGAACCAATACACTACCCATGCCTCAAGCGACATTTTAACCTAGGAGGTTGATTGATCCACATGGGCCTTGAACGAAGTAATCTCACAGAGCTCTAACAAATTAGTGGGGAGAGACTCAAGGAACTACAAATGATGGGCAGACACTGACCCACTGATAGGTAATGCAAATAAGGCAACCACATCTTCTACAATTATGCCGAATTCACTGAACGCCCCCCCCCATCCCCCCACGAACGTATGAGTGTGGCAACACTAATGTTCTAAAAGGGGTTTCACATAACGCATCCCTTCCTTGCCAGGAAGATCCATGAAACAATCTACAAAACATTGGAGTCTAGCGTCCCATAGCAGATGGAAATACATCAAATTCTCTAGGATGTAGCACGCCCAACTCGAATAACTAACCAAGGATTTGAATTATCGGTCCTTGGTTCTTGACAATTATATGATACAGAGTGACCGATGTGCCCATATATACAGACCAACTCATTCCCATCAATGGCATCAAAAGCCCCTTCCTCCCCCCTTGACACTGGCATAGGAGGTCAGAACCCCTTACCGCCATCGGCCACCCTGGCCGCTTCACGTTCAGACAACATTTCTATTGTATCCATGACACTGACAAACTCAAGAAAATGACTGGGAGAAATGAAGGGAAAGGATTGGGAATAGTTGCTAGAATGGCAAGGACGGAAATAGAGAGAGAGAGAGCAAACCGACTGAGAATAACTGTTACACGTGTCCAGAACGCTAAACGACACTGAGAAAGGCAAATCAATATGATTACAATCTCTTAGTCGAAGCTTAATGGAAAAATAAAGTATATCAAATTACGATCATACCCCTAGTAGGGAGAAACTGATGCATTAATTTAAAAGTGAAACCATGTTGGGAACTACCACTTTAAATGTTACATCCCCTATCCGAGCCATACGCGTGAACACAATGCATTTATGAGTAGACGATGGTTATGAAAAGTCTTAATATGACTGCCATATCATCAACGAATAACAGCTTTCCCGTCCCTCCAACAGTAACAGAATGTGAAAAGCCACCAAGCAAAACATTACTAACTCATACTATGTATTCGCGATAGGCATTACTTAGGCAAACAGAGGGGGGCTGAACGCCTATACTTTAACGTTTATCACTTGTCTTTCAACAATTTACTTCCTGCCATTAGGTAGAGGGGGCTGAGAACTTCACTAACAAATTGAGCATAAAATTGCCTATTGACAGAAAGCATATTGTCAAAAGATAGGGGGCTGAATTATAGAATAAATGGAAAACCAACCCAAAACGAAAATCATGATTTCCACTTGAAGATACCACTAAGCCGAATGCATGACTGCTTATTGACTGGTTTGCAGCTTGTCAATAAGCAAGGGGACTGACAATAAATTCATGTGAATTTTCCCTTGATTGCAGATGATCCAGGCAAGACAGGGACGATCACCAGACTTAACGCACACTAATCCCTCCTTACATTGCTCTATAACCAAACCTCAAGACAAATCCAAGGACAAAATGCTTATCAGTAAGGTTCCACTTACCGATAAGCAAAGGGACTAATGTAGGTACATAGTGGTCGCTCAGACCATCAGAATACAGAGGATATTGAATTAATACCACATGAACGCTTGCGATGAGCTCATAACTCATCAAATGTTTGCAATGAGTTTATAACTCATCGCATGACTGCAATAGACTTGCACTCGAAATGAGCCGCGATAAACTTTGGATAGTGTAAACTTGCGATGAGATTTAAACACACACATATTTGCAATGGATTTTGGACATGCGCAGAGCTGCAATGAGTTCAAAGCCATTGTAGAGACGTGATAAACATAGAATCACTATAAACCAGGAATAAATATTAGTTATATGTGCGCCTTTAAATACATGCGTGACAGGATGCCTCATGGGCCTAGTATAGGCACGCCCACTAAACAATGATGTCACTCATGCCACGTCGGTTAAATGGGCCACTAAAGGAAGTAGAGCATGCGGATTATGAAAATCCTTGGACGAAAGAAACGTGTCATTGGGAGATCTCATAAGACACATGGTGAAACCCTAGAAGTGCTCTCTAACAACTGACAACGAATCCAATATTCCCTTTCCTAGTGGGAATCAAACGCTTTTGGCTCCTTCTTTTCGGGACCTCGGGATCTCTCCCTATAAATAAGGGTCTATCTCATAACGAAATCATCATCTTATCACTCACATATTCCCTAGCCTTTAGCTACCTCTTGCATTCGGTCTTCCTTTGTCTTTCAAGGAGACCCTCATATGTAGCCTAAACACCTCACTTACACAAGGGTCTTAGCAGAGTTTGGGTGAAGTTGAGCAATCGAGATAATATAGTACCCCTACACCTCGATAATGAGGGAATAAAGAGGAAATTTGAGCCCGACCTCTAGTGTTTACTTAAAGAAACAGACCTCCTCCTGGTCGTGCACTGTTTACGAGAGGTCGAAGCCCCTTTGTGGGAGCCTCGCCGTTCTTGCACCGAGGACCCCTTCTTAGCATGCACAACCCTCTACCCCTCTCCTTCAAACTCGCTAACAGATATAACTTAAAGACAGAAAGGAAAAAAGAAAAAAATGAGAGGACTCACCAAAGACTAAGAGAATCGGCCGACCTTGCCAACCTTAATCAACCATGTCGAGCTCTCTAACCAGAATTCTCTATGACCTCACTCAAAGCTCCAAAAACAGGTGCAAATGGGATCCCAAGGACCCCTATTTATAAATGGGGAACCCGGTCAATCAATAGTCGAGATCAAGTCAATCCAACGGATTAGAAGGGCATGATGGTTCATCTTTCGAGGCCCAAAAATGAGTTTAGCACATTTTTTTACGTTTGTGGAGCCTAATTCCCATGTAACACCTGCATGTGCCTAGTACGCGACCTATTAGACGACCCAAGCTAGGCAAATAAGTTTGATCTTGAACCATGACCCGACAAAGAACCTACATTAGGTGTTAAGCCATGATCACCTCGAACCAAGGTATTCCCTCCACTGAGCTTGGCATCTTAAGCTTTGGGATTGAGGGGCAATTGATGAGAGGTGATCTAGACATCTAATCACATAGTGCCCCATGGCAAGTCCGAACCATTTAATGACACCTTGGCACCATGTGGAGGCAAGTCACACTTGGCCAAATCAGCCCAAGCTAACAAGCTGGACCTACATCTCAACTAATGGAAGCCCGATAGGTCGCTACGTATTAGAACAGAGCACATCACCTTGGGAGAACAAGACAATGAATTCGGATTCCGGCTTGCACTCCCCGACCTGGGCAACCAATGACGTGAGTAACTAGCCGACTTCCAGGGTACCAACCTACGTGGCAGGCTATCCTTATTTGATTAGCACGCCTATCGGTTCCAAAACAAATAGTGACACATTGTCCACTTGGCAGTGCATGCTTTGGAGGGTCTAGATGAGGATTATCACCAGCATTGGTAGAACATGCCCTAAAGATAACAACAGGCCGATAAGGCCTATTGTTCTCAGATATCTTGGACACGACTCTTGGACCCCAAAGCCTATAAAAAGGCACCTCCACACCTTTACAAGGTATGTGTGATTTAGTGCATTCTAGTTGTCTAAATCTCCCTTTCGCGTTCTTGCTCACTAAGCTTAGCTAACTTAAGCATCGGAGTGCTTAGTTCGAGTCCAAACTCCTGGGTACTCTAATATCTTGCTTCTTGTAGATCAGTTTGTTGACCTCAGCACCACTCTTCCGAGCTGTCCTCCAGTAGGGAAGTTAGGTGATTTAACCTCCATCTTAACTAAAATTTACCCTAAGAAAAATGAAAACTACTTGGCCTTAAAATTTTCTACATGTTTCCATTGATATGGAAATGTTGATTTCTTTTTCTTTGGTTAATAGACATGGTGAAAAGGTAGAGAAATTTAAAGGTAATATTGAAGTTATTCTAATATCTAGTAGAAGTAGAAACTTTAACAAGTTGCTTACTCAAAGTCCTGAACCATATTTTAGAATATTTTTATTTATTTATTGTGATAATTTCTCATAATTTGAAATCCATATTTACTATCTATCTATTACTTTATAGTGAAAATTTACTTAGTAGTAAGCACTTGTTTTGTATTTCCCCTTAAAAGATAAGTTGGAGCTTACCCTTTTGTTACCTCATAGTGGGTAACAAGAAAGTTGGCTATAAATTTACCACTTAACTTTCCAAGACTGATCAATGACACTATAAGCAAAATTACTGATATAGAGAAAATTCACAAAGTAAAAATACATGAAGTTATAGAATTCAATATTGATGTTCAAATCAAGGAGCTAATGAACATACCGGTCAATGAATCTAAGAGTAATACTTGGAATAGTATCTAATTCAGGTGGTTAGTTATGAAAATGGATGTATTTTATAAATTTGTTCATTTATGTGGTCTACATAGAAATTACATCAAATAAGAAATATATGGTAAAAACAAATATGAAATGCATAGAAAACTGAGGGAGCCCTCAATTTTTCAGAAGTAATATTTGTATAATAATTTGAAATGCTATTGTGGTATTTATAACTGGCCATTGGGGGGAGAAAATCTTGAAAATAAGATACCATAAATTGTATATTATGGATTTAATATATGTTTGGTAGCAACAACGTTGATAAGCCTGGTTTTACAACTAAGGCAAAAACTAGACTCAACCAAATTTTCAATGATTTAAAATGAGACTCAACCCATCTATTGAGTCAGCTGAAGAGAAATTAGAAAAACTAACTTTGAATAGAGAAGTAGACTAGCTTTAATGATGATCTAAAAAGAAAATGAGAGAGAGAGAGAGAGAGGAGAAAGAAAATAGTGTTTTGGCTTTCATTCCTAAAAACGCCACCGCGTTTGTGCAGCTGGGCATGGACGTTTATTCAAAGTTGAACCCTGTTTGGTTCATTAGTTTATGAAAAAGAAACACTAAAACACAAAAACACAGTAATACTTTGATTTCTGTGCATTGAGCTATTGGGGGAAGCCTCTCGTGGCAGTTGATGTGGTGGGGGATAGAACTAATCCGGTGCATCGTAGATCATTAGAACTTAAAAAATAGGTCGAAAGAGGAAGAGGAGAAGCCCTACTTCCATTGAAATCCATTTACGAGAAAAATGTCATCCATCACCTGCTCGTAGAGAAGACTCCCTCCCTATTCATAAAAGATTCACTGTTAGATCTCAATTTCGACCATTATATACATGTATGAATAATTTCGATTATTAGATCAATTTGATGGCACACACTTACGGGTGCAAGTCGGGCGGGTTGAGCTGGGTTTATGGTCAATCCAGGCCCAACCTTAAAATTTGGATTTAAGGCCCAAGCGTGAGGTCAAGCTTGATTTTCCCAATCCGAGCCCAGTTCGCCTTGTAATTTGATGCACTCGGGTTGGGTACGGGCTCAGTCCAGGCTTAGGTTGGTCAATGAACCCACTCTAAAATTACACATATATAAATGTATTTATGCAAATATATATTCATATATTTATATATGTATGCAAATATATATGCAAAATATCTATACAAATATTATATATACAAATATGTATGTATTTATATGTAAATATATATGCAATATTTACATATATACACATATATGTATAAATATATATAATTAAGCCGGGCTCGGGCCTGGTTCAGGCTACCTAAGGGCTAGGCCCGAGCCCGACCCGAAAAATAAAAAAACCTGATTTCTTGGACCCGAGCCCAGCCCGAGGACCAAAAATCCAAGCCTAGCCCATGTAAAATTCCGGGTTGGGCCGGTTCGGGCTTGGGCTGGGCCCTCCCAAGTTGCACCCCTAGTCACACCGGATAGTGTACAGTGTTGCTTATTGAAATGCCTCACCAAACAACCAAAAAGGAAAGAATGTTTGTTGTTGCTTAGGTGGCAGATGCCTTTATGGATTGTTTTTGGAAATACGTCACAAAACAGCCAAAACTTATAAACGTTTAAAGTGGCATTTTTTTGATAAAGTTTTATCTTTAGAACGCCCATCCATAAATGTCAATAGAACCAAATACATACTCAAAAAAGCCCAAACATTGAGGGTATTTTGGAATTTTGAAGGGTATTTTTGGAAATACCTCACCAAACAACCAAAAAGGAGGTATTTAGTTCTTTTTCAATTGAAGGGTATTTTGGAATTTTGAAAAAAAAAAGAAAAAGTAATATGGAAAACCATATTGTCTTCCAATTCATCAGCTTATACAAGTTGCAGTGGGGGAATATGCCCATCAAATGTTTCTACTAAAGTTATTTGGTAGAATTTTCCATTGTGCACATCTAGACCATCCCATTAAAAGAGGCATTCCCAAATATTTCTCTTTTTCCCTTATTGGTCGTACACGCAATGATGATGATAGATGCTCTCATATTCTTATATTTTTCCCACCTTAGAGGGACCTTTTAGAAAAAAAAAATTAGGTGGCCTTTTCTTTGAAACCTAAGAGCATTTTTTTTTTCAAATTTTCTTTTCTATTAGAAGAAAAGAAGCAATTAAGCATTTGGAGACTCAAAGAGGCTGATTTAAATTGGGGTTTCGGTTGCAATCAATATAGGTAAGTTATTTTCTTCTTTAAACCATTTAGTTTTTCTTTTCTTTCATTTTGAGATTACTTTTAAATCAAGAATTGGGGTTTTTGTTAGACATCCATTTTCCTTCCACTTTCCGATAAGGAAAATGATTCTAATCAGAACCCATGCCATTAGACGGTTAGACATCCATTTTGTTAGCATTTGAGATTACTTTTCTTTTATTTTGGGCTAATTTCGATTCTATCTTATAGACGGTTATGGGGAGTTCATATTTGAAGTATGGTTCTTGCCTCGAACCCACCCCATTGCCATTCCTAATAGCCTTATCCCAACCAAGAACCAAATCGCTAGAATGGCTGTTGGATGAGATACACAATTAGTTATAATGAGAGATAAACGAGAGGAACTTTTCAGCTTTTTGATCATTACATTTACAACCTAGACATTTAAATCGGGAAACCATCAAATTGATATATATTGAAACATCCCTGACACAAATTTGTATGCAAAGTGTTGTTTGATTGTTTTAATTCAAAAGGTCTTAACCAACTAATGGTGTCTCATTGATATAATCTCTACCTAATTGTAGCGGAGTCCTAGATCAATTTATATGTGACATTACATGTGGTTAAAATCTTTCAAAAACTGAGTTTTGCCTACTAATAATTTTAAATGAAAAGACACTTTGAATTGAAAAGTTGTTTAGTGATGAAAGGATGTTCAAAATTTAAATCTAAATTAAAAAATTATTTAAAAGAATTTGAGATAAATTACACATGTGTTAAAACATGAAATCATAAAAAATTAAAAAGACAAAAATACCCCTATAAAACTTTTTGAGTCCCATACACAAAAAATAGAAGAAATGGACCGTTAGACTTATATCAGGATTCATGACACACCGTGACATGTAAGAAAGGCATCGCCTGTGCAACGCATGGTGCCAACTGGCCCAACTGACAAACAATGTAGTGTTTTCTAGTGACGAGTCCTCTCCTACATACGGGGAAGGGCCACGCTTCGTTGGGCTCTTCTTTTAATCAAAGGAAGGAAAACCGAATTAATATGAGATTTGCCTGGTGCTGGTGCTATCTGAATCCGACGAGAAAGAGGGAGGAAGAAATCGAGAATTGGAACCAACGGAGATGACCAAAATCGTTTTTTACCCCTTTTAAATGCTTCATGAACTAAAATAAAATCCATTTTGATATAATCGTATAAATGTAAAAGAAAGGTCGACTCTAGCTTCGTTAATGGCGTTCGAAGTTCCAACTTCTCTGATGCGCGAATTGCAAATTGCACTCCGTAAAGAGGCTGGCCTCTGTTCTTACGATCCCGACGATCCATCGCCTCCCGAATTGCCTTCCATCGAAGAACTGATGGCTGAGTTGGATCCCGCACCTCCTAATGTTCGATGCAAGGAATGCCGTGGAAGACTTCTTAGAGATATTCAATCAATGGTTTGTATCTTCTGTGGTGCTCAACAGAGAAGAGACGTACTCCCTGAGCCCATCTCCTTCAAAGATACCTTCACTTGTCGGTGGTTACTCGAATCACTGGACTTGGATGGATCTGTGAGTGTTTTTTATCGTTTGTTCACTTCAGTAGCAGTTAATTGCTTGGAAGGAATTTCTAATTAATAATCATTATCTATCTATGGATTTGTGAGTGATTTTACCAAATTTATCTCTCTTCGATTGTTTGTTGTCCAATGATTTACCTTTTTGTGTTCATTTTTCTGCAATTTTAAGCATTATTTTGCAATTTTCTGCATTTTGGACAGTATAATGCATATTGAGCATATGAACCGTTTGATGGCATCTATTTTATGGGGGTGTACCGTGTATTGTGTAGTTTGTATTGGTTTACACTTTATCATGATTTGCTTTGCAAAAAACACTATTGAAAAACACTAACAAACAAGCAATCATTTGCTGTTTTTTTTTGAGAAAATGGCTCAGGTGGCAATAATGGAACCAATCAACAATGCCGTTTTCTGAGGAAACGGCGCACCATTGCATTTGGAGAAATGGCAATGCAACCAAATAAACCCTTTGTTTTCCCTCCGTTTTATCTCAAAAGCATGCAACTTCTTCTCAATCTCTACCCTAAAGGCTGGAAGATTGACGAAGAAAGAATGTCTGCTGTGTCTCCACAACTGCAAGTCAATGAAAGAGCTGAAATCCTGAAACAAAGTCAATCCCAGATCTTCAGAGTTGGTCTTCTTCAAAACAGGGATGCGTTGAACAAGCTCATGGTATTCTATACAAACCCAAATTCTGGAAATTTACAGTATGCGGTGAGAATCTTTTACATTCAAGAGCCATGTCTTTTTATCTTCAATTTAACGATCAAGTCATTTGCAAAGAAGGGCGGCTTTAGAAAAGCTCTTTTGCTCTTCAACTGGTTGAGGGAAGAGAATTTATCCTCTGATAATTTTACTTGCCCCTTTGCTCTCAAGGCAATTGGGTGTTTGTGGGCAGTTTCAGAAGGGCGAAACATCCATGGATTTATTGTAAAAACTGGGTTTGAATTTAAATTTTCTGTGGGGAATTCACTTATGGGGGCACGTACGCAGAAATGAGTAATGTGGAGACTTTGCGATGGTTATCCGAGGAAATGTGACAGAGAGATGCAATTCCTTGGAATGTTTTGATTTCTGCATAAGTTAAGAGTGGAAGATTTGTGCAGTCTGTTTTCCAGCAGACGAACCAGCAGAGTTTTGTGAGGCCTGATGAAGTGACAATTGTCAGCACTCTTTCAGCTTGTGTTGCCTTGGGAAACTTGGAACTGGTTAAGGAAATTCATCAGTATATTGCAAGGAGCTTGAATTCACCATTGTTTTGGGTAATGCCTTGCTAGATATGGATTCAAGATGTGTGGGCGTTTAAGCCTGGATCATCAAATCTTTGATGAAATGTCAGATAAAATGTATGGACAAGCATGGTATCTGGGTATGTGAAAAGTGGTCAGCTGGATGGGGCTAGAGAATCGTTGGATGTGACTCTAGCAAAGGATGTTATTCTCTGAACAACTATGATTAATGGCTATAGGCAGTATAACCAATTTGATGAATCCTTGTCTTTGTTTCAGGAGATAAAAATGAAAAGGGTAGAGCTGAGTAAGTTCATTCTTGTTGCATTTCTTACAGGCTGTGCTCAGTTGGGAGGTCTTGAGGAAGGGAAATGGATTGATAGGTGCATTGGTCAAAATGTGATTAGAGTAGATGTCATTGTTGGTACTGCTCTTATAGACATATGTATTTCAAATTGGGTACATAGAGAAACCCATAAAAATTTTCATGAGAATAGGACAGGGCTTTTTGGACTGTTATTATCTGTGGGCTTGCTATGAATGGCCAGATGACCAAAGTCCAGTCGTTTGGAGAGCCTCTGGGTGATGAAGTCTAGTGTACTTCCGCTATCTATTAAAATAGAAATAGAGTGACCCATTAAAGAGGCCACAACCCTCATGGTTTGGGGAAACAGCCCCGTTAATGTGTGAAGAGAAATTTCTGGTGTTTCCTGCCCTTCCGTTTTTCTTTCCATAGCTTCAAGTAGGTGGTCTGGAACTCTGGATTCTCATCATCTGCTTCCTCTGTTTGTAGTAGGAACGTTTTCTGGGTCTTACACCTGTGACCCGGACCGAATTTATCTTCACAGTTGTAATAGAGGCCACGGTCTCTTTGGGCCTACATCTAACATATCCACCCATGAAAGCCTTATTATAAGTATCGCAACCGGAACTATGGCAGTAGATTTCACTGGTGGGCATGAGTTTTCAGTCCGTGATGGATTCTTTATCAGTGGTGGTTCAGATGGATTTATTTGATTCAAACCGGTGTGACCCAAATGTGATAAGCTCAAATAGGGGCGAGGCATTCTCCTAAGACGACTAAGTCGATCTTCTTGCAGGAGAGCAAGACCAACAACAAGCATCGTAGCTGGTTAGAGGCCTTTAACTTCTACACAAATTGCTTCCTTTAGTCTGCCGATAAAGCAACCGAGGAGAGCTTTTACAGACTGCCCCTAAACCCTCATTGGGAGTCTCTCAAATTCCATCTGATAATATCCCTCATGTTCCCAGTTTGCTGAAGTTTGGAAAGGGCTTCATTGAAATCTTCAAACCTTGTAGGGCCAAACCTTACACATAGGGCTTCAATGAAATTCACCGAGGAGATTTGGTGGTGAGAGCGATCAAGCCATTGAAACCACAAGATTGCCTACCTTTGTGTATTACTATGGGGCTGGAAATTTGGTTTCTTGGAGGAGCAAGAAATAGTCAATGGTTGCTAGATCATCAGCTGAAGTGGAATATAGAGCCATAGCCCGTGGAGTATCTGAGTTGTTGTGGTTATGGTCTCTGATGGAGGAGATGGGTGTTGAATAATAATCCATTGATGTTGTATTGTGATAATCAGGCATCCATTAACATAGCATATAATACCATCCAACATGATCAAACAAAGTATATTGAGGTGGAGAGACACTTCAACAGAAAAAGAGTGGCATTTAGGGAAGTTTGCCTACCCTTAGTTGCATCTGAAGAGCAGCTAGCTGATGTAATTACCAAGGAGTTCCTAAAGTTAAATTATAGAAATATGTAAGCAAGCTGGCATGATTGACATCTATGCTCAGATTGACGGGGAGTGTAGAAATATTATTTTCTTGAATCTATGGACTTTCCTCTTATGGGCTTGTTAATCTCTTTTTCTTTATGATTATAGGCAGATGCCCTATTAAGAGTATACTTGTAATTGCCCCCATTTGTTTCTAATCTTGATTAATAAAAGTAATTAGGGGCTTGAGAGAGGATTATGATTGACTCTTCTCCTTCTCCTTCTTCATCCATCTTCTTCCCTTCTTTTTGCACTGGTTTCTTCCTTCTGTTAGCTGTCTTTTCTTGATTAAATACAAAACATATTGCTGGTATTTTTTCTACTATAGATAACTACCTCAGGATAACTTGGTGAAGGTGAATTTTGATGGATATAGCAGAGTTAATCCTGGTCCATCTAGAATTGGAGGAGCCTTTACGGACTCCAAGGTATTAAGCATGGCAGAGATAACTGTAGTTGTGCAAGGACTTGGGGTGTCTAAAGCTTGCAACTTCCGAAATCTGATAATATAAGGGGATTCTGAAGTGGTAGTGTGATGGCTGAAGAATCAAGAGTTGAACCCTTGCTCGTACATAAATATAATGAAGGAAATAAAAGTATTAATGGGGGAAAGGGTGGTGCAAGTGCATGGCCTTATAGGTCAGCAAATGGACTGGCTAATATGTTCTCTAAACATGGAGTAGATAGGAGTCAGCAATTTTGGGACATGATGGGGAATCAGTAATATAATAGCATCAACTAAATGAATGTACATTGACAAGGGTGGGAAAACCTGTTCTTTTCACCAGGGATGGCTGCTTTCACTGTACATATTCATTCTTCTTTCATCTAATAAATTTTACAGTTATTCATAAGATACAAGAGAGAGAGAGAGAGAGAGAGAGAGAGAGAGAGAGAGAACCATTATGTCTTCTTACCAAAGAAATACATGTGTACAACCACAATCTACTGTGTACAAGGTATGATACAACAATACATTCAGCCTACAAATTGTCATAAATACCCCATAAATACATGACCAGCCCGAAGGCTCTATTTGTGACTTGCCCATGTTTAATTTGCAAAAGCTAGACCAAAATGCGGTTTTATCAGAAACTTCCATGCTAAACTTGCAAAAACATTCAACTTAGCATGCTTTATGCCCCCTTTGCTTTCTAAGCAAACTATTTACCTACTTTCTATAATTAGTAGATCTGGGAGACATTCATTTTGTTTTTCAATTTGTGGTTAGTTGGGTTTAAGGCTGGGTTGAATTGAATTGACATTTTTTTTATTTTAAGTTTAGATTGACAAAAAATTGTAGTTAAGAATTATCTCTTGTTTCATTGTATTAAGTATTAACACCTTTCTATAATGAATTATAAAGGCATGTAACTGGGTGTACTCCCAGGTGGTGGGTTGGATGAGAGAGGGGGCTATGGCCTATGCATTTATTGGCCTTTTTGTCAGGGAGGTTAAATGTCTATCTAGTAGAGGGAACATTTTATTCTTCTGGATTAGGGGATCTGCTAATGATCTAGCCCCTATGTCTGGAGTTGGGGTTTTAGGGGGCTACTTGTATTAAGGTTCTGTTTTACCACATTAAGGAGCATGTTACACTTCTATTTGACATAAGTACGTAATTGAAAATTAACATTAAAAAGAAAGATGAAGAGAATAGAGAAGAGGAACATTCTGTTCATCTACTTTGAGGGATATGAAATCCTCCAAAAACAAGTGTCAGTTTCTTTAGATAAGATAATCTTCTGCCCTGATTCCCATAGTACAATGGTATTTAAAAGATAGGACTCCTACTCAACCAGAGACTCCTGCAACTAAACTTCTCATCACTACAACCCTCATACTTTGCAACTAACTTGACTGTTGAACCACTTACATAAGACTCATAACTGATTCTTCTACTAATAAGACTCCTACTAACCCCATAATTACTCCACTGATCATAAATTACTCCATGTTGCCATTGTATGGCCCCATGTGCCTAAACCAGTCATTTTATGGTTCATGCATACATAACATCTTGACTGGTGGGCCTCCACAGAACACAGCCCATTAGGTTGTGCTCCCATCTGTTTTCTTCTTATGTCTTACATCTTCTTTGTTTTTTCATTAATAAAATTTCTTGATCATGTTACCCACAAAAGAAATGCATGTAACTAGGATTGGTTGCAAGAATTTGTATTTAAAACGTGGATAATATTTGTCTTCTGTTACATTACAAAGAGTTGTTTGAAGATAACTTTTCCTAAGAACATAGAGTTCTGAGTATTGAGAAAAACAGGTGTTATTTTTCAGGAGGTCATTGATTTAGCTACTGGAGATAAGAATTCAACTAAAGGGCAGAAAGCACCAAAAGACGAGTTGCTTTTGTTCAACTTGTTAGATATTAAACTTAATTGGCCTTCTGAACTTCAGAAAATTGAAAGTAGCCTTACAGGAAAGGAACCAAGGCAAGCTAAAGACTTTTTGGACTTGGATGAAGTGGACCTAGATAAATTATATTCTGCAGCAAAGAATGAGACTGCTGCTAGTAGATCAGAGGAACAATTATTAGTCAACAAGATAGAAAGCACAGAAGGTCAGGAATTTATTGGCCAGGGAAGTCTTGATTTGATCGAGAGTGTTGAGCCTTCCAGCATGCCAGTGGGATCAGGCATTTCTGAAGATGACACAGGATACCCCTTTTCTGGTGCATCAGGCCATAGAAAAGGTTCTTTGCATGCCAATAGTGTGCAGTTAGAAGATTCCATTTCTGATGGGTATGTGTATGTCTGCCATTTTTTAACAGTGCAATTTTATAATTATTAATTTGTTGTTTTCTTCGTGATCTGAACTTTGATATCTTTATGATCTGAGCTAAAATGTTTTATATTGATTGAATTGATTAAAAACAAGACATTTAAATGATCAACTTTATAATGTGTGCATGCATGTGCTTATCTTAGTCTAACTTTGAGTCTTTGATATGAGTAGTAAGATGTAAAAACAAGATGAAGAAAAACCTAGAAGAAAAGAGATCAACATTGAAGAGTGTTTGGGGCCTTTGGGCATTCAAAATCAGGGTAAGTCTATCCCACACATTGTATTATATATTAGAATGTGGAGAATTACATTATTGCCCTTAATAACATGATATAGAATGTTACTCTTTTTATAATAAAGTAAAACCCTTATTCCACTTGTAAGAGTATAGACATGTCTAACACCATCGGCAAGCATGAATAGGTGTGCGAAACAACCACCTTAGCTACTCAAGTACTGTGAAACACCATTTCAATATGATCTCTGTACATAATCTTGAAGCAATGGGGATCAATGAATACCGGATAGTTGGCCTTCTAGTGGAGATTATTGATATCAATGGCAATGTCTCTATATATACATAATCTTGAAGCAATGGGGATCAATGAAGACCAGATAGTTGGCCTCCTAATGGAGGTTATTGATATCAATGCCAATGTCTCTATGACCATGGGTTCTACCATGGTCCATGTAGAAGTCATAACTTTTCATATGTAGAAGGATGATTACAGGCAAGAGAGTCTACCATGCATATGCCGAAGGATGATGGATGAGACATCATCTTCTTCAAAGACAACTAGGCTAGCTCCACATCCACCTAAAGATTTCAGGATTGAGAGGTAACATCTGCACAAACCTGACCATCTTAATGAAAACATTGCTATTTTTCTAGATATATTTTTGTTTCAGTGAAACATGCAATAGCTTATGCTTTTCATAGTACAGTTTCAGTCTCTTGAATCAGAAAGTTATTTCAATTAGATGTCTAATGTTTCATGTCTCTAATGATAGTCTCATATGATGTTAACAGTTCAGAACTATACTACATAATTATTAATATGGAAGCAGCTATACAGATGTCATTATCATAATTTCAGCCTTATATTATGTTGAAACGAATAGCATGACAAGGAACTGGAGCTACTTCGTGGGAGCTTGCCCTCCTACAGAGAAAGTGAGAGAGAGAGAGAGAGGAGAAGAATTGGAGGGAAATTTCTCTTGTATTCCTCCTTTGTTCGGATGACTACTTATAGCCTCTTACATCCATTTTCCATCAAGAATAACAATCCAGTAACTAACTATTCTGACCTGTCCTTCTAGAATATACATATTTAAGAAGTGGTTGGTAGGGAATATCTCTGTGGATCAGCACTTGAGTTGGGTCCTGGGCCCGGGTTTAGGCTGAAGTGTCCAGGCCCTGTTCCTCCATTGATCTCTAGGTTCTATCAACTCCCTCCCCCTCAAAATTGACCTTGTCTTAAAGGTCGATGGAGGGAAACTGTTGCTATAGATTAGCCAAGTCCTCCCAAGTAGCATATTTAATTGGAAGGTTGGTCCACTGTACTAACACTTGCTTGTGTTAGACAGTGTATGCCCTTATCTCCAATCAACATGATGTACATTATGACATTTATTGTAAATGAATAAAGCACATATTTGATTCATGTTATTATGGTGTGTTTCTGTGTTAGTTTAGAATCTTCACAGCCGTTGGATAGATCTGGGGAGATTTATCCTGCCAAGGCTGACACTGATGTACCACCAAGTTGGTTGTGGTACCTTGTCTCAGCTATTAGGGTGAGACCTGAGGTACATGTAGTGTGGGTTTTCTTGAAACCCTAAACCGGACCAAAATTCTAGTATTGCCCTGGACCTTGGAGATAGATGGGCAAAATTGGAATGTTACACTTGACCCCTAGACTCGACTATGATACTGCACTAGGTTTCGGATTGGGTTGTCTTTGATATGCCAATCAGTGAGATCCTTAGAGAGAGTCAAAACCTGGGTATGTTGGGACAGTCCGAGAATTCATCTGAGTGGGTGATCATAGTGACATGATCAGCCCCTTTATCGGTCAAAGTGAATGATCGGGGATGCACTCTCTCTGATGGAAACCTAAACTGCCGGCAGTCGATTTCAACCGTTGAAATTTGTTTTTGCAAAATATATTTATATAGAGATATACATATATATATATATATTTTGGTTTTAAAATGTTTGCAAAAGGTTTTAATTCCTGGGATCCATGTGAGTAGAGAGTGCATCACTGCACCTTGCAGCCGAGGGAGAGGTCCTCTCTTGATGGGTAGTGTTTGATCATTATGTGCTGAGAGGTTAAGTACCATTGAGGGTTATGCCTAATGAGATAATCTTGCGTCTGCCCACATTCCTTAGGCCTTCATAAGATGGCTGGACCCAAGGACCATTTAGTGTAAATGTTGGGCCCGTTAAGAGCCCATAGTGATGGACTCAGGGGTTCACTGTATTCAGTAGTGAATTCGGCCAGGCCTTGTAACAGAGGTTAGGCTGAACACATGTGGCTAATGTGTAGATCAATGAGAGGGTCCCACGCCATACAAAGAGAGCCAAGCTAGCCAACATTAAATTGGAAGTGAGCCTGAAAGCTTAATGGGCCTAAAAGCCCATTTCGAACTGGGTTAATTAGATTAATTAAATAGGGGCGGATCTGGGATTTGGATTAGCAGATAAGATAAGGGATTATCCTTATCCACTTAAAAAGTCCAGATCCAAATAAAGATTTAGATCAAAGGAACTCCTAATTTGATTAGGAACGCTGATATTTATTTGCAGATAAGATAAGGGATTATCCTTATCACTTAAAGAGTCCAGATCCAAATAAAACATTTGGATCAGGAAACTCCTAATGAGATTAGGAAATTGTCTCTTTAAGGCTATAAATAAGAGAGCAGGGTGAACCTTGAATACACACTCAATACAGAGAGAAGACAACTCAGTTAGACTGATCTTGCCTTCAGCTCTTTTTCCTCCTACTCTTGCCGCCCTACCCTGTTCGATCTCCAGTTCTTGGATTTGATCAAGATTCGATCTTTAGAAGTTGTGTTCATTATCCCATTCGATTCTTGCTGAAGAATAACTAGTTCTTGGTGAAGAACTATCTGCTGATCCTGCCTAATCCCAAGTTGTGTCATATTCAGTGGAGGGAGGATTTGGTACACTCTTTGGGCGTGAACACCTACGTTGGCAGGAACATTCTTGCATGGGTTCCGTATCAGGTGTATCCCTCCCTAATTTTGGTTTCAAATTTGGTCCGGTTTGGTAACAAGAACGAACTTTGAAAGTGCATTTTTCTAAATTGGGAATAGGATTCCCGGATGTGAGTAAATAAATTTTTTGAAATTTCGCCCAACCTTCCTGCTCGGTTCGGCCATCCATCTGATGGATCTCCCATCCCTTCAGCTTGATGGTATTATGACTGCCAGACTTGACCTACTTTTCAGAAGTGTTTTATGAGGCTGAACAAGCAGCTATCCATCATTAGTGAACTGAGGTAAAGTTGGACTAACAGCAGCAGAGGGAGAAATGCATGATTTCAAGAGAGACACATGAAAGACTGGGTTTAGCTTGGAAGATGTAGGTAAAACCAGCTTGTAGGCTACTTGGTCAATCCTCTCTAAGATCTTGAATAGACTGAAGTATCTGGGTGATAATTTCCGCCAGGCCCGACAAACTAAAGAGGATTGTCGGTAAGGGTGTAGCTTAAGAAACACCATGTCACCTAGCTTGTATTCCACATCTCGATGCTTCTTGTCATATGCTGACTTCATTCTTTTCTGGGCCTGTTGTTGCAGGTGCCTTTTGATGGATTGAAGCAATTCATTGCGAGCTGATAGTTGCTGGTCTACTTCAGCGATAACAGAGGAACCCTTCTTATAAGGTAAGAGTGAAGGAGGTTCCCGTCCATAAACAGACTTGAAGGGAGTGGTTCCTGTAGAGGCATGGAAAGTGGCATTGAACTAGTATCCAGACCAAGGCAACCAATGTGTCCACTGTTTTGGATTCTCACCAATAAAACACCTTAGGTAGGTTTTCAAGCAATGATTTATCACCTCGGTTTGTCTATCCATTTGTTGATGGTAGCTAGTAGAATTGTACAATAGAACTCCTTGTTACTTGAAATAAGCTTCCCAGGATCTGCTCATGAAGAGTGGATCTCGATCTGTGACTATGGTGTTAGGGGTGCCATGCAACTTTGCTACATTATCCATGAATGCCGTTGCTACTGCACTGGCAGTATATGGGTGAGGTAATGCAACAAAATGGGTGTACTTACTCAGTCGGTCCACCACCACAAAAACCACTGGTTTTCCTACTGCACTGGCAGTTCCACAAGAAGCTACATAAATCTGAACCATTTTCTTCATTTTGGGCCAGAAGAAATGAGCTGCCAGCTGCTGGTATGTTCTCAGTACGTCTGAATTTTGGGCCACCGCCAACTGGCCCTTATAAAATAGAGTAGACCCATCCACTGAATAGCTAGGTACAATGCTGGGATCTTGAGCCCACTAGGCTCGAATCTGGGCCAATTCCAAATCCTATTGGGATTTTTGTTTGAGTTGACCCATGAGGGGAAACTGCAAGTGTGAGACCCCCATATAGCTTAATTCTTCAGGCCTAGATAAAGCACCAGCCACGGAATTAGAAGGACCTGGTTTATACTCAATCATGAAATCATAACCCAATAATTTGGCAGTCTATTTCTGTTGTTCTGGACTTGGAACCCATTGCTCCAACAAGTGTTTTAGATTGCAGTGATCAATCCTCACCACAAAGTGCCGCCCAAGAAGATAGGCCCTCAATTTTTGGAAGGCCAAAGTAACTGCTATCAATTCCTTTTCGTAAGTAGACTTGAGTTGTGTTTGGGCAGAGAGCACTTTACTAAAATATGCTACTGGTTGGCCTTGCTGCATCAACACA